GGAGTCTGACACGCTGTGGGCATGTTCGTTCACGTAATTAAAGGAACATTTGCTTTTCTCTCCTCTTGCATCCGAGGGGCTGAACGTGCTTTCCAAACATCAGCCGAGCCCCGTGCAGGGCAAGCAGTCTGTTACTCCCGTTCCACAGCAGAGAAAACTAAGGCACAGAAAGCGCCTTTGGGTTTTGTTTTTAAATCTGGGAATGGTCAAGTCGGACACGGCCGTCTCGACCTTTTCTGAAATCCCTCTGCTGTTGGTGGGAGTTGAAGATTGGACGGGTTTGGGGGTTTTTGGGTGCCTGACTTGCTATGCTCCCTGTCTGACCGCTGCATGGCTATCCGGCCTCCCTTCTGGGTCTGTTGGGATCCTCACTTAGGGTCTCTGCAGTAGCAAAACGGCTCCTTTAATAGCTATAAAGGGCCTGAAATTTCCATTCTAACTTGATCGGGCTTTGCGGTGAGCCAAGGTATTAACGCTCCTTCAGGGGAGGGTGGGGAGCCGGCGCTGGTGGCTGACCAGGAATAGCCTGCCCTATGACAGCACCCGTGTCCCCTGGGGAGGGGAGTCGGACTGTGAACTCACTGGTTATTCATGGCCGGCTTGGACACATGTTGCTGGCTTCCTACACCCATAGCTATGTGCTTACTGCAGCCACAGTCATTCTGAATTTGGGCTGGGCAGTGTGCAAGGAGCTGATTAATTGGGAGTGTTCGTGTGGGAAGGTCAAACAAACTACCCCACCCTGGGGAGGTTTCCTCTCCACGCTCGGGGCGCTCCCTTCTGCTCGGGGCCGACATCTCCCCTCGTTTTGTTGGCATCTGTGCAATATTTCTTCCCTGAATATGGGGGGCTCTAGAGAGCAGTACATGACATCCTTCCTTTTTGTGGTCCCCCTTGCAGGGTTGGTTTCTTGCAATTAAGCTTCAGCACTCCTTATTTTTATTTTATTTTTTTTTACACCGTTTCCTTCTCTAGGGTGTCCTGAGTAGGTTCCTCTCCTCTGCCTGTCATGCCTTGCAGAGGAGGTGGCCCCTGGTCGCTGCTGGGCAGCGCCAAACACTTCCTGCCCTCGCCCTGGGACCAAGGTGCTGGGGAGGAAGAGCCTGGGAAATGAGCCGGAGCGATCAAGAGCGCAGGATTTCTAGCAGCACCTGAAAAGTAGCCTGTGGGAAGAGGGGGCAGGAACTTGCTGCTGGCTGGGGAAACCAGAGGGATTTGATATTGGATTAGCGGCTTCTGCATGAGAAGCATAGCGCGTTGGAAATGCCCGGCGTGCAGGTGCAAGGTCACTCGTCGCTGCTCCGTATCTCTCCCGCAGACGAGTATGTGGAGTGTTTTGCACATGGGAACATCTGTTTCAAACCTTTTGAACCCTTGCAGCGGCCTCCGCTCCTCTTGCAGTCCCACAAGCACCGTGGCTCTGTTCACCATAACCCACCTGGGGCCTCTCGGATCAACAGCCCTTCTCTTGATTTTTTCCCCTCTTTTCAGGGATTTGAATTCCCTCTCGGCATGTGCAGAATGAAATAGTACAGTGTGGGGTAACCTTGCTGGCAGGTGTGCCACAAATGGTGTTCTTCTTGCTGGCCTCTCTGATCCTGATCTACTGCTCTGCTTTCTGCTCCCCGCCCTATGCTTCCTGCCTGATCTTCTGCTCTGTTTAAAGAGCTCCATCTCCGGAAGATTGGGCCTCTCGAGACACAGGTTGAAGCGGTTCCTTTTGGTCCATACACCATCCCTTTTCTTGCTGTTGCCCCCCCACGCTTTCGTTAGCTGCTTGGCATGGGCAATCGAGAGTTTTTGGTTCACGTTCCTCTGTGGTGCGACACCTTTGCATAACAACCAGAGATGGATTTGTCCATCTCTCTGGTTGAAATATGTAGAAAGGGAGAGTCCAGAGCACCCTGGAGAGCCATGCTGTCTGCTGCCTTGCGACTGGGTTAGATCCTTAGAGCAAATCCTTTTTTGCAGGCACATTTTGCAGGACCGCCGTAATGGGGAGATCAGCTCATGGACCTGTTGCCATATCCTATAGTGTCAGGACAGCCCGATGCAGAGAGACGGAGACAAGACTCCTGGGTTTGGTTGTTAGATCTGGGCAGGGCAGGAAGGGGACCATACCGTTGGCCCTCTATCTTCAGCATCACAGTTTGCCTCCAGTAGCCCTTTTTAAGCTCACTGCACGTCCTCCTGCACATCCAGTCTGCAAAACATGTTGGGGCTTCTGGTTCTTGTGCAGAGGTGGGCAAAATACGGCCCAGGGGCCAGGTCCGGCCCACCAGGCCATTTTGTCCGGCCTGCAGTGCCCTTAAAAATTTTAGAAAAGTAATATTTATTTGCTCCTAGCTGCCTGTCAAAGATGGCAGGATGCAGGGGCAGTAGGGCCCAGAGGAAACTGGTGGCAGGACCCAGAAGCAAGGCCTGCCCAGCTCTGCCTCGCCAACCAGAAACCCCCGCCTAGCAGAGGCTTCTGTCCTGGGACCATAAGGCCGTTCCTGCTTCCCTGTGGCGGAGAGGGAAACGCTGCCCTCAACAGCTTGCCAAAACTCAGTAGGCGATCTTCCGCCCGAAATAATTGCCCGCCCCTGTTTTAGTGACTCCTGCGGCTCCAGCCATACGAGCTCGTGCTTCTACCTTTTTGGAGGTCCTTGGCTAAATCGATGGTCATAAGCAAGATGTTGTTCAGAGTCGTGTGTGGCTTTTCTTTTTTTTTTTTTCTCCCTCTTGCTTTTGCATGAACACCCCTGAGACTCCCACGTGGGAAGGTTTATGAGCAGCTGGAGAGCAAAATGCCACGACTCTGACCTAGATAATTGTGGCGCAGCTTGAAGAGGGGAGAAGGCAGACCAGGTGCTAAATGACTAAGCAGATTTATCCCGTCCGAGTTGCCGTACCTGCCTGCTGCCTGTGACCTTGGGGAGACGAAGGTTACAGGCCATTGCAACGGGCTGTGTCAGCAGAGGGCTAATTTAATCCACGTGGCTGTTAAGGAGACGGGCCAGCCAGAGAGCATGCAAAGGATTGTTGCACTAGACGTTGTGGGAAAAACAAAGATGCCTCCCAGGATTTGTCTGCCCTGCTCGTGCAGCACCGAAGTCATCTTTTTCCTGCCGCAGGGAAAAAGCAGTTGCACATCCCCTCCGTCCTCACCGTCTCACTGTTATCCTTTGGAGAGTTATTCCAGTTCCCTGCTCCATCCATGTCAGCTTACCCGCAACAGGTGGGGTCTTTCCCTGCTCACCTGTTTTTGAGGCTGTTGTTCCCTTTATGGATGGGGAAACCTCGGCCTGTCCTGAAGTCGGGGAGAGGCAGAGGCGGTCTCTGCTTCTACCTCTTAGCACTCGAGCTGGGCTGGCATGCTAGCGGTGGGATGCAGCAAGGCATGCAACCCAGGCAGCTGGATAGATCTAAAGCTGCTGCTTTTTTGCTGGGTCCTGGAAGCAGCTTTCCTGGAGGCTGAGGAGTACCAGCCCTTGGCCAAAGAGATCCAGAAGGGATCCAGGAGTCAAGCGTCTGGGTGGATGAAGGGCCAAGCTATACTGCTGATGGTCTGGTCGATCCTTCCCCAGCAAAGGTGCATAGCTTTCTGTCCTTAATAGCTCTCTTTGGGCCTCCCTGCCTTGCTCATCCTGAGCAGTTTTTACTACAGATGGGAGCGATCGGTGGGTTGGTCCTGAAGCAGACGGTGCCGTTTGGCAACGTGCGTGTTGTGGCCATGGCCAGCCACTGCCTCCCGCCGTGGAGTCGTATGCACAGGGAATGAGTGTGCTTGGAGGGCCACGTGTGTCAGATCTCTTTGCAGACATCATATTTTTGCTTAACAAAGAGATTCTGTTTAATGGACCGGGGTTGGCTGAATTCATGCCCCTTTTACCCCTGCCAAGGACCTTTGACCTGCCCTGTGACCGGTGCTGAATCAGTTCTGGTCTTCCCTGCGGCTGAAATCTGTGCGTGCGGCACGCTTGTTATCGGGGTCTCCCTTCCTTCTCTGCGGGAAGTGGCTTGTTCAGAGCCCCAGGGCAACCCTTGCCTGTGCAGAGAGCCTGTTAAAAGGAAACCCTTGATAAGACAAGTGCCCAGATAAGGGCTCACTCAGCCTGGGGAGAGCTGCATTGCTCGTGTCTGGAAAAAGCAGGTGGTTGCTGGTGTCTGTCATGATTGTGGGTGTGTGTTCGTAGAGCGGCGAAGGCCTGGCAGGCTTTCTCTTACCTCTGGCACCACATAAAGGTGTGAATAGGAGCCTCCTTACCTGTGATGATCAGCCCAGTTGATGGAGGCTGGACATGCACCTCGCTGGGATCATTTGATCTCGGTGGCATCCCTATTCAGAGCAGGGGGGGTTGAACTCGATCGTTCAAGGTCCCTTCCAGACCTTCATTTCTCTGATTTCTAAAATGTCTATGATTAATTGCTTCCAAGCTTGTGCGTGTGGGTGAGGAAAGTAGTTTTCCCTTCGTGTCCTTCCTTTTCCTTGTATAGTCTCCAGATTTGCCTTCCCTTTTGGGGGATAAGCACAGTCCTGGGAAGAGGGGAAAAAAAATCCCCCTGAGCTGGACTGGATCGTGTGCACCGTGCCGCCTTGCACAGTCGTTCGGACTTGTGCAAAATGAGTGCAAAAGCCTCTTTGCACTCAGTAACTTTGCAACTTGGGGGTTAGCCTTCTCAATCCTCCTGCCTTCGCCAGCGGGGAACAGCTCTTAATAACCAGGAAGCCTGTTTCTCCTGACTCATTCTCCCCCTTTCCTGAAGCGGGAAGGTGAATCCCAGGCCGCTCGCTCTCCGGTGCAGCTTTCCCAGCTGAGTGAGTTCATCCTGACTCAGTTTTTTGTCCTGTATCCAACCACAAAATGCTGAGCAATAAAAGCAAGAGAAATGATTTTCTCTTCTCTGTTCCTGTCTGACGAGCCAAGACGTTGCAGCGGTTGGCACCTGCCTCTTAACCCTCTTGTTGTGGTCACGCGAGTGCCATGTTTAAGCCCTGTCTTGTTCCTTTCCCGCAGGTCCTCCAGAAGCTCGGGAAAGCCGACGAAACAAAAGATGAGCAGTTTGAACAGTGCGTGCAGAACTTCAACAAACAGCTGGTAAGCTAACTGGAGATCCGTAATTGCACACGGGGCCCTTGCGTTGCAGGGGGCTGTTGGAAGCACGTGGGCAATTAAGGCGTGCACACACGGAGCCAGAGTCCTATACAAGTCACCCACTCACCCCCATCCACTTGCTGCTCATATACATCACATCGCACTTCTCTCTTTCGGTTTCCTAGCTGATAACCACATACGAACCAGGTCACGCCCCAAAATTTAGGTTTCATAAAATCAACCGTGATTAGAAATATTCCTATCGGAAAATTTTCCTTAGTACGTTTCAATTAAAAACGGGTTTGCTGTACGAGTCTGCGTGCTGCTGGAAACCAGGTCACAGCTGGAGCGTTATTGTAGTGCAAGCGAAAGAGACTTGGACGTGAAAAGGAAAACTGAGCAGTGGGTAGTTTCACTTACCGAAGTGGGGTGACATGCACCAAAAAAACAGCATAAAAGGGGAAAAAGGAAATATGCTGGCAAGGCTGATCAAGCCCAATGCATGGCTTCCTTTCTCTTCCTTGTGTAGTATGTGTGTGCCAAGTACAACTAACTGTGTGTGTGTGTGTGGGGGGGGGGTTCGTTGTTGTATGTCAAAAAAGTAAAGCTATTTGTGCCACACAGTAGAAAACACTTTGATATTTAAGCTGCTCGCAGAGGCATCCCCTCCCAAACCAGGTGCATCCTTGACCTAGAACTTTTTTTTTGTATGTTAGACTGGAGGGATGCTGGAGGACTTTTAGCCCAAAGCGAGTGGTTTATGGGGAAGGGCTGATCGAGCTGAGTGCGACCCCCAAGCCTCCTCCCTCAGTAATTGGGGGGCAGGTGAACTGCAGCGAGGGTCAGAGGGGCCTGGGCCTGACGGCGGTGGGTGTACCTGGAGGAGGGGAAAGCTTGCATGAAGGCCTCCTGCTAGGCTGGAGGATGGTGTCCCAGGCCAGTGGTGAAAGGCTGTCAATTCACACCTTCAAGTCCAGGCTGGGATGGGACAAGTCTGCAGCTGGGGTTTTCGCAGACATCAGAAAGGCTTTAATTTATCCTGGGGACAGAAGGGCCAGACAGTAGTTATAGCATCTCTTTGTTTTTTCAGACCAAGCCCTGCTACCGCCCGTCAGCCGCTCTGTCTGGCTCCCTTTCTCAGGTCCACAGGGCTGTCTTCCACCACTTCACCTCCTCCCCTGGATCCCTGGGTGGAGAGGGCCCATTTCCATATACAGCTGCCCTTGCTGCCAGCGCATGCATGTATTCCCCACCCCGTTCTGCGTCTCCCCTTGTCAGCATAGGGCTACCCTTCTGCAGCCAGTCCCCCAGAGAGAGGATCTAGTAGGATGTGCGGGACAACTGGTCCCTGAATATATCTGGGGCCGACTATTGCTGCCTTGTACCCAGTGCACAGCGAGATGCAGAGTTGTGATCCCATCACATCCTGAATGTCAGCTGAAATGGATCCCTTTTTTACTGCTGGTTACTCAAGTCTGGCGAGGTGTTAGGACTTAGCTTATAAAATCAAGATATCGATCCCTGGAGGCCCCGTCCTTTCCTGGGCAGTGGCAATAGCTGATGCTCTGGAAGGAAGTACAAAATCCGCTTTCACCAACTGGGGCAAAGTGTAGGGGGCTGAGCTGTTTCTCTCCGAGTCCCTGCTGCTCACACAACGTCCTGAGGTGCGACTTGCCCCCGCTTTTGTCTTCTATAGCTAGACCAGCTATAAGCAGTCATGGAGTTATTTAGCCTTCCTAAAAGAAATGCCAAAACCACCTCAGACCCTTAAAAAGGGTTGCAGTGAGACTTTGCAACCTCCTGAAGCAGGGTGCATCAAAGACGAGCAAAGAAGCATTTCCCTTTGAGCACCAGTCTCACCGCAGATGAGAGCGTCTCAGCTCTCCGCTCGTGGGGGCAGGACAACATGAATTGTACCATTTAGTTGAACGTTTGGATACCAGGGACTGCCACTGACTTACTATACAGCCTCTGGAGAGTCACGTCTTCATCTCTTTGTACCTTAGTTTCCCCATCTGTAAAGCCAAGTGGGGCGATGGCTGTTCCACGGGGAGTGCCATAGCAATAAATGTGCTCAATTTTCCAGCATTTCAGAGGATATCTGGGGCTGAGTAATTCATATTCTGCTGGCTCAGCCAGAGTTGGAAACGGATTCTGCCTCTTGCGCATATTGTGAGATTTCTGAGGCCTTTCCTTGCAAATAAGCCTATTGCACATCACAACTCAGGCCTCTGATGTCTTGCAGAAGATCGGTGTCCGGGCTGGCGCTCCCCGAGGCTGGAATTGGCTTGGGTGTGTCCAGAATAGTCTTGAAGCAGGTGGCAGGAGAGGGGACCTCCAAAGATAACTTGACGGCACTTGTGTCGCTTGATCGGACGTGGTGCCCACGAGAGGGGTCACATCAGTTGCCGTTCTATGCGCAGGCTATTTGTGGATATAGGATGAGTGTAAAACGAGCTCTCTCCTTCACTGGAGGCATCCTGTGGTTTCCCCAGATGGCAGCTGGGTGGGCACGGGGAGGGGTACCATGCTTTGTATACCTCCTGTGTCCATTCAGAGCGGTACAAGAATATCTCCCTGCGGTCTGTGAATGGTAACAGCCCCCTCTTCTTCAACAGAAGGGTTCTGCTACGTGACACACGAGCTGAACGCAGTTCTGCTTCTGTGGGGCCACAGATGTCCTCACAGACCGGGTCTGCGAGGGCCTGACGGGCAGCATCGCTGGTCAGTTTTACCTTCTCCTTGTGATGGGCTCAATTCGGCCTCGAACCGCTGAACTAGTCCCTTGGAGCCCTCCATCCTCTCCTAGATGTGTTGCATCAGGGCTGAGCTTTAGCTAACTCTTATAGTTCGTGCACAGTCAGGTAGATGGATACTCTGGCTGGGAATCTCCTACAAAACTTGGAAAAGTCCTCATAAGTTCTGAGAAATGGCTTCTAGGACCAAATTTTCAGTGGACCTCTATAGTGACATCCTCCAGAAGTGGGGGACGTATCGTTTTATGTGCACAAAGCTGAGACCCTTGCTGGTTTTACAGGCCCAACTAAGGGAATGCACTGCGGAAGAGGCTGCCATAGTTGCAGAACTAGCTGCACCTCTCTCTCTGGTTGGTCTGAGTTCACCCCCTCTGGTGTCACGGCGTGCACCTTTTCCCTCCGCAGTTTTTCTGCTCTTAGATCAGCCCAAGTTTCCTGTGGATCAATGGTTCTTACTTTACAGGTCCAGCTTAGTTCACCACCTGCAGCTCTTTTCCCTTTGAGACTTTGCATGGGTGCATCTACATGTTCATTAATGTGCTTTTCTTAATGCGCATTAAATTGACTACCTCCATTGTGAGGTACTAGAAAAAGGTGCATTAGTTTATTTTAATGTGCATTAGCAAAAGCGTTTGGTTGTTTTGTGATGCTTTAATAGGCATTAAAATAGGCTAATGCTCATTAAAGCGCACGCGTAGATGTGTCCGGTGGGTAGGGAAGAGTAGTGTGACCAGCCAGGCTTCTTAAATCAAACTGGTGCTTATCATTTGGAGTAGGAAACAAACAATTAGAACAAGGTTTTCAAAGGAGCAGGCACCCTGCATGCCTATCTATTACTGCTAGGCCTGTGATTTTCAACTGGGGTGCTGCAAAATCCCTTTCTGGGTGTTGCCCAGCCCCCTTGAGAGCTGTCAGTGCACCGTCCTGTCTGGACAGATGTAAAGGAGGAGACATTATTGCTGCCTGCAGAAAGCAGGTAACGTATATAGCCAAGAAAGGCCGTCACCAAAGGTCCTTGGCAAACTGCTAGTGCTAATAATAAACGCCGGCACCTTTTCCGTACGTGTGAGCGAGCTGCTATTTAAATACAAAAAAACACTTCTTCGTGGAACCAGCGATAGATATGGGACAAATGAAGGAAATATCAGAGGTGAGGCTGGATTGAAGCCTCCGATTCCCAAAGTCTTGAAAGTTTGGGGAGCGTGGAGCACTCTCTGGGATACTACCACATGCGGTGTGTGGTACGTGGAGTTTAGGGATATCGAGTCTGCTAGCTCAGCTAGGTGCTTTCAGAGGGCTTGGATAAGAGTAACCATGCATTGCAAGTGTAGGTCTGTCTGCTAAGAGGGATAATACAGCCAGGGCCTGTGGAAGGGCATGCAGACCTCTCCTACCTGTATCCTGCATTGCATGATCGGTCAAATGCATTAGACAGTATAGGGGAATGCCTTACTAGGAAGCGCGGGGCATTGATGAATGAAAGAGGGTGGTGATATTTTCCCATTGCTATTTGTTAATCCTTTGGTATGCGGTGGTGTGTCTGCATGTGCACATATAACAGATATAATCATATGCACTAGTAGTCACGCGGTTTTTCTGAATCCTTTCCCATGCTGCACTTGCTAGGTATTTCCCTCCGGTTGTAAATTTATTGTAAGCAACTTCTCAGAGCTTCCCCGTACTCATGCCTGACTTTGGGGGCTCTGTGACTGGGTGATGAAACCTGCACCCGATGGAGGTTGTGTCCTACCTGTTGTGGTTGTGCTAGGCCTCGCGCAGACATGGCTGCATTTTCAAGTGCAGCCTCTAATTTTGGGAACCCCCATGTTCTAGCTCTCCAGCTGGAGACGTTATGACGACTGAGCGCAGTGCCTGGGGCAGAACCATCCCCGAGGATGATCTGCTGGTCCTTGGGGCCTGAAATTGGACCACCAAAATTGGAGGTGCCCAAATTTGAGATGACTTTTAGAAAGGCAGTCGCTGGGGATCCCATGCCCGCGGTCAAAGTCCGCTTGGGAAAGGGATTTTTTTTCCCCTTTTTCAGTGCAGTCTCTTATGGCACAAGTCTCTCTTGAATTTGGCAGTGCCAAGACGAACGTGGTGGTCTAACTTTATAACTGAAGAGCCTGTTTTGTAGGGGAGGGGGGGCGAGTCCAGGCCAAGAAGCAAGCACCTTGATGGAGGAGATGGATAGAAAAGAGTTGCATTGAAGTTAGAAGCAGCTGTCAGAGGGGCCCTATGGGCTCCTTGAGCATAGAGTGGGAGTCGGGCTATGTTAACCTGGGGCCTCCATGTGGGAAGTGTAAACTGGGAGGAAAAAAGGAAATTAGATGCAACAAAGTGCATGATGACGGTGCAAGGACTAGCAGCCTCCCTCCGGCACTGCCCTTTGAAGTTTCACAGCTGCACCCCTGGCTAGGAAAGATCAAAAGCAGGCATTTGATACAGAGATCCCAAAGACCTTCTCTGTCTTTTCCTCTTGCAACAAAGGTCTCTGTCTCTCTCCACCGCCTCGTCCTTCCTTCTGTACTGATTTCTGGTGTTGTCTTGACAAATGTTCCCATCCCTGCAAAGAAAACATCCTCAGGTCCCCATCTCACATCACCGCACCGTCTCTGCTGCGCTGGACCTGCCTCTCTGCTGCCTAGTGTTCATGCTGACATTTGCACCAGATGGTATCAAGTGCCACCGGTCTGATTTGATTGCATTTTTAGGCCTCCACAGTATAAATGCAGATGACACATTGGTAGGAAGAGACTAAGTGAGCACGTAACTCTGTCAGGAAAAAATCATGTCGCTCTGCATGATTATTGATCTTTCCTAAGTAGTCAAACTGTGTGTGTGTGTATGTGTGCATGCACGTGTCCATGTCTGTGTCCACATGTTTAAATCTGGTCTAAATTTCAGCCTAAAAGGGTCTGAGACCTTGGTCTTATCTCAGTTCCCAGGCTGTGATACCCCCAAAATCAAGCCAGAAAGCTGGTTGTTTCTTAGCTTCTGAATACATTGAAATTTGGTTTTAGCAAGGGAATACAATTTTAAAGAAAAGCAATCAATTTTTCCTATTTGATGCTGTTGTTTTGCTTCCCGGTAGCTTCGCTCCTTTGGGAAAGTGAAATTAGACTGCTCAGCGTCCTCGATGCGGCCGTGTTTAGGGTATCCATCATCAACCCGTCAAAACTCGAGCTGTTCCCAACAAACCCTAAAACAAAGGATGTGCTTTGGGAATGGACAGCTGTGCCCTTTAACTGCTTCGGAGGGGAGGAGCAGCTGCCGCTCTCTCGGGAGCGTGCACCAGCTGTTACGATGCAGCTGTTCGTCGGCATGATCCTGTAGTGAGCTCACAAGTGAGCTCAACTTCTCCGTGAGCCCGGATGAGGCAGAGGGAAAGTTGCAGTGGCTCTGCAGTATGCGTGTTGCTCCCGAGTCGTGCAGACGTAACAGCAGTATCATAACAGCTTATCAGGAACCGCTGACGTCAGTATATCAAATCTATACACTAGATCCCCTGCACCCTACATTTTGGACTTCCTTTAATAACCTGACAGCATTTCTCCCTCTTTGGGGATTGGGGCCCATTGCACTCTTGTGTCTTGCCCTAGCTTGAATGGACCATTTCTTAGTCCTAAACTGGTTCTTCTGCCATCATATTGTATGGGGCAGTTTGGGGATGGGGGGAGGTGTTCCCTTCCCCTCGTCCTCAGCCCCTCGGTGCAGGCGAGTCCTGCACGAACCCTTCCTTTGCATCACGCAGTAACGCGCTCTCTTGTCTTTGCCGTCACAGTCAGAAGGCAGCAGGCTGCAGAAAGACCTTCGAACTTACCTGACTTCCGTCAAAGGTAATGTCTGTGCAAATGGAAATGTTTCTCAATGTGCCCAAAGTAGAGGTCTCCCAGCTCTGCCTCTGCCTGCCTTGTGCTCCCCACTTTCCTAAACGGGTTTTCTGGTGCAGGGAGCTTGGTTTCTCCTGTCTTGCTCCCTCGAATGGCAAGAGGTGGCTGTAATGAGACCGGCTTGGTGAGGAAACATCCAGTTGGCAGGGTGTCTCCCTGTCTTGCATGCTGCTGGGTGAAGATGAGCAGTAGTGGACCTTGGGGGCGGATGACTGCAGCATGGGCATCCTCTCCCTCTTGTTTCTTACCTGGGCTAGCTGTAATCCGGGCTGTACTAGCAAGGGTCACTCTTGCCAGTATTTTGCCCAAGGCAGGGAGCGGGGTAGCATTACTTATTCCATGCCGTCGAGTACGGGTTGCTGAGGAGGGAGGGCCTCCCACGCGGTCCCCTTCTGTGTCTAATGCCCCTCTCCTCTTTCCTAGCAATGCACGAGGCCTCCAAGAAGCTGACCGAGTGTCTGCAGGAAGTGTATGAGCCGGAGTGGCCCGGGAGAGACGACACGAACAAAATAGCAGAGGTGAGACGCGGTGCGAGGCAGCCCTTGGGAGTAGAGGATGGGCAGGGTTGAGGTCTACCAACTCTGCTCCTCTTGGGAGTCTCGCATTGACCCGTCCTTGTGGGGGTAAGCATCTAGGAGAAGAAGAGGTGGCTTCACCATGGGCTTGGCTTTCTCTTGCACCTTCTGATGCCCAGGTCTAACCCTGCCTGCCCTGCTTATGAAATGGGCTTGTATCTCTTTCTTCCCTTTAGTACTTTGACTCTCTCCTCTGAGTGTTTTTTAGGAGACCTGTTAGTATCAAGTATTGCTCATCGCTTTAATATTGCACACTGTCACTGGAGATGGACTTCTTCCTATACTCTCCTCCCACAGCCAACCTCCTTTGTCTTCATTTCAGATGTTTTACAGCTAGATTGCTTTATTGGAGGGAGTGGGGAACTGCTTTTGGCTGGTAACGAGCTAGCTGCTAATGATCAGCTAATGACCCATGCAAATGCTAATGCCCCGTACAGGTGATAAATGCCTTCTCTTTCCCACCCTTGATACATACTGAGACTTGCAGCCATGTCCTTCAGTTTTCTTCCACTGTTCATAAAATAGCCCTTTGGTTACAATGCTAGAGGTGTTTCTTAAGGTCCAGGGTTCAGCTATGAGCTTTCCTTGTCCTGCTTCCAGGAAGCTAGTCCAGATGGATGCAAGTCTTTGGGATAGTACTGATCTTTTATCGTGGACTTGCATACTGCTTAAACGTTTGGAGCTGCTGGGTGCGACCACTAATAAATGGTGCATTGAAGCCTCTTTCTTCCCTGAAATTATGGTCTCTCGTTTTGGGAGGTTGCAAGGTCTAAGGCACCGTATGAAATGTGCTGCCTTGGATACGTTGGATATTTCCTACCAGCAGGTGGTAGGGGATGTGATGTCTGTGTTACAGATTGTGGGGGAAGCTGCCTGTCTCTCTCTCCCTCTATTTATTTATTTTTTTATGGAAAATTTTTCCTGTCCCAGGTCAAATCAGCCAAATCGGGTCCAAATCTGTTTGAATCATCCAAGAACCACATGTGGTCCAGCTACCAGCAAGCATCCTTCACCCCGACCTGGGGCTTTAGATGCTTCCAAATCCTGTGGCAGGCATCCTATGTGCAGGCCCAAGCCCGGAGACTTGGGGTTCAGATGTCCCCAAGTGGTTGCAGGAGCCACCAGTGGTTGCAGGAGCAAGCTGTGGAGGAGTCTCCGATTTCCATAAAGTCGGCGTGTAGCCGAGATCCTCCCACTGAAAGCTGGCCAGTGGGAAGCTAACTGTGAGGCTCTCGTAGGGAGTCCTGTCCGCAAGCAAACAAGGGTGCAACCCTCCACTAAACAGTGCCATTTTAATTGCATTACCTGTCAGGGTACTTCCCCTGCCACCATTGTGGTCACAGTATTTCTCCTGCACCCACTATGCATGATACTGTCCAAAGCCAAAAGGCTCGTAAAGCTGTCTGCCTCTATGTAAGACCAAACTGGTGAGTGTGCCCACTCTTCTAGCTCCTGCTGGCAGAGCCATACCATCTCGCTGACAGATAGCAGATGATAGATGGGGTATGTGGGATACCCATACCTTCTGCCCTCTGTCACGTGCCCATGGTGCAATGCCAGCCCCCCGGCAGAAGGGAGTCATGCAGAAGTGCTGCAAAGCCACCTGGAGCCAAATGGTTGTATGCATGTAGACCTACTGTTTACAGGGTCACAACATGGGTCCCGTTAGTCCAGAGGCGATGCTGGACACAGCATGGGTCCCTTTAGGGCAGAGAGGCGATGCTGAGGGGGAGGGTTAACAGGACCCCTGCTCCTCTCCCACGGCAGCTTCCATCATTCGGAGGTTTAGGAAGTTCGGCGCAGAGGCTTCATACCCCTCTACCATGATCAATACCTGCTGCGAGACCTTTCCTTCATGAACGTAAAGAGTTATTCTCCCAACCCCCTTGTTTTCAGAGTACCCCCACAGCCCTGAGCTTCTCCTCCTGGCCTGCGGCTTGTCCCAAGGACGAGACCGAGTCTTTATCTTATCAGCTCCGCTGCCCTTGTGCAGCTGCAACAGGGGAATCTCTGCCAGCTCCAGGTGGCTTTCTTTCGGGTTGTGAAAGAAATGTCAGGTCTCCCTTCCGTGGGGTGTGTTATCCTGCCGTTGCACTTGCTGAGAAATCACTTTTCACCCAAGGCAATCGGCAAGGCAACGGACAAAAGGATTTATGATGTCGGAGAAAATCATCCAGATAAACTGACCTCTAGAAGTTTGATAACAGAATAAAAAGGCAAGTAAAGGTTCTTGACGGGGAGCTACCTCCCAGCCCCCTGTCAGCACTGCTGGTATGTCCAGAAACCAGCTTTCCAGCTGATTCTGCCAACCCTGGCTGCGGGGGACTTGGACTCCCCAAAGCCAGGGATCCAAAGCCCCCAACCACCTTACAGACAGCTCTTATAATACCTATGGCTCAGCACCCCCATCGGCACTGTCCCTGTTCCTCCCAAATCTCCATGCTGCCCCAGCAGCTTCTCCCCCAGGAGACCTGGCGTTTTGTGGTTAATGGGCCATTTCTCATAGATACCTTTGCTATAGAGGAGTTGATTTCCCCATTACAGGCAGACAATAACTTCTCCTTTTGCCACTGTCTGGGAGTGGCAATTCTCCTTGCACTAATGACACAATACCAAGAGATATTTAGCAAAGATATTCTGTCCACTCCCTTAAGTATGCATCCCTCAGCTCTTTGGGTAAACCGTGTCCAAAATTGCAAATGTGAATACAGATGACATAACATAATCTGCACAGTATTAACAGTGACATAAATGGAGACAGCATAACGTGGGTGTTTCAGTGAGACGACACATGCCGCATCGGTGAAATAAATACAAGAAAACATTCATGAGCCCCAGATCCTGGTGCGGTTTCTAACACCCTCAGTGTAAAATGTCAACTAAAATTACAGGGTGGGAAAGTGTAGGTTTTCCACAGAAAACCAAACTGGAAATTTCTATCCTGAAATCATAGACCATGAAGGTTGGAAGGGACCTCAGGAGGTCACATCTTTAGTCCCTTGCTCAAAGTAGGACCATCCCCAGCTAACGAAGTAGGACCACCCAGACCAAGGCTTTGTCTACCCAAGTGTTAAACTTCCACAGACATGCTCCACAGAGCTTCAGGGGAACGGCAGTTTGGGTGGCTCACCCTGGCCACCTTTTTGGGGGCAGGTTTTGTGTTTGGGGACAGTATGTCCAATGCCGAACTACAGCCCCCGTCTTGCTGAGCCACTGTGGTGCGTCAGATTGGACTGGATACTAGGAGACAGTCTAGGCACAAGGCATCTGAATTGGGTCCTCCCTGAAGTGCTTTAGTAGCTGAACTGAAGTCTTGGTCTTGGAATAACAGAGCGCAGTTTTGGGCTCCTCACTTCAAGAAGGATCCAGGGAAACTGGACTGGATCCAGAGGCGAGTGACGAAGATGAGGAAGGTTTTGGAATGCAAGCCATTCAAGGAAAGGCCGAGGGAAATGGGCGTGTTTCGCTTGGAGAAAATATTTGAAAAGCTGCCATAAAGGAGAGAGAGAACAACTTTTTCCCTCTTGCAAGAGAGGATGAGATAGGAAGCAATGGCTTTAACTTGCAGTAAAATGGATTTAGATTAAATCTCAGAGAAAATCTTCTTAATTCTAATATAAATTGGACAAGAGAACAAGGTGCCCAAGGGAGTTGTGAATTTTTTTATTTTTTATTTTTAATTGGAGCTGGTCATAGCAGCCCGTGAGTCTTGGTAATGTCTCAGTTGTTCGGCAGCTGCCACTGCTTATTCCTCACTGGCAGTCCTACTCCTCTGCTCATGATATCATAATTGACTTTTGGTATTCAAGGCTTTGTTCTGCTGCCCATCACATTCAGATCCGAGCTTCAGAGATAACGGTCACGCTACAAAGGCAAATCTGAGCAAAGTGAAGAAGCAACAGCTGGAGACTCTTTAATTAGTCTCTGAGGTGCCACCCTGCTCTACCTCCTACTTGTGGCAGCTCAGGTGGGAGCCAGCGGCTATCAAAACTGATATTCCTTAATCACCCTTGGCCTTGGAGCCTCCTGGGCTTGGGCAATCTTGATTTATGTCAGTGGCTTCTCAAGTTTATCTAACCAAGTCCCCATGGCTCAATCCTAACTTCAACAGGAGCTCTTTGTGCCTGATTGGATGTGTGCACACTACTCAGCTGCCTTTGTATAAGCAGACTTTTTTCTGAAGTATCCAGAGAGGGTGGGAGTTCAATGCATCTTAGAGCTCACAGGCAGACACCTAAGAGAAGAGCCACAGAAAGGTATATTGTTTGCATGTATTTGGGTGTGTGCCTTGAATGCAGAAGTACCCAAGTGGGTTGGATATGTTGGTGAGCCAGGAATGAAGATCTTTAACGATAGGCAGACAAGGTTCTTTGGGTGAATCTGATATCTTTTATTAGACCAACTTAAATAATTGAAGACAATTATTAAGCAAGCTTTTGGGTTCAAAAACCCTTCGTCAGGCTAAGGAAGTTTCTGCAGTTGGTGTGTGCTCTTCCTGGATGGAATGAAAAGTAAAGCAGCAATGTTTTTCTTTCTAATTGTTGCAACAAAGATGCGCAAACATGTTTTGCAATTAGGGCTGTCAGTTAATCGCTAACATGTGCAATTAACACACTAAAAAAATTAATGAAAGAACCAATTTAACAATTTAACCTAAATCATAGATGTTAGGGTCGGAAGGGACCTCAATAGATCATCGAGTCCGACCCCCTGCATAGGCAGGAAAGAGT